CTGAGTTGACTCGGCTGAAAACTCGGTTTGACCACTAATCACTAAAAATCGCATAACTTTTCGGTCGGACCTCCGTTTTTGACGTAGTTTTCGCTCACGCGTTCGTAAAGAGATAATATACAACTTACAATAGAAATATTTCAAAAAGTATCTTCCAATAAAAGTCAGTTTTTATGTATCCGTAACGTAGATATTGATTCTCTTGACCCGTTTCTTTCCAATTGTTTTGCCCGGGTCTTGTACAATGATTCCGACTATTTCATATATAGTTTATTGCATTCAGGTTTGCTTCAAAATTTTACGTTTTGATCACATAAACACGTATAAAGGGGATAATTGCAACGTATTTGCAAAAGTGTATGTTACAATTACCTCCTCCTTTTGAGGATTCTGTCATCGGAATCTTCATTTCTCGAATAGCTCGGGATATTTGGCAAGCATCTGTTCTTTGTTCTCCTACGTGCAATTCGGACCACGATGATGCTTCCATTTCACCAATACCAAATCGATTGTCTTGTTCCGAAGATTTGCCGTTCTTTCGTTTAGAATTTCTTCTGGTTCCTCGATATATCTCAGTCGTTCGTCAATCTTCACCTCGGCTAAGGGAATTGTTTCATCATACTTACCCAAACACTTTTGAAGATATCCAACATGAAATGCATCATGAATACCAGACAGCTCTTCTGGAAGTTCAAGTCGATATGCTTGTTTGCCAATACATTCAATGATTTTGAATGGTCCAACGAAACGTGGACTAAGCTTACCTTGCTTACCAAATCGTAGAATACCCTTCCAAGGGGAAACTTTCAACATAACCATGTCATCCACGGTGAATTCAATTGGTCGTCGACGATTATCGGCGTACGACTTTTGTTTGTCCTGAGCGGCTTTCATCCTTTCCCGAATAACTTGAATCTTATCATGCGTAATTTGAATCATTTTGGGTCCAGCAAGCACTTTCTCACCCGTCTCACGCCAACATAGTGGAGTTTGACATTTACGACCATATAAAGCCTCAAAAGGCACCATACCGATAGTCGAGTGATAGTTGTTGTTGTATGAAAATTCAACCAATGATAGATGCATATCCCAACTACCACCAAACTCAAGGATACACTCACGCAACATATATTCTAATGTCTGTATCGTGCGTTTGGACTGGCCATCAGTTTGGGGATGATAGGTTGTGCTCAATGCCACGCGTGTTCCTAGTTCTCGTTGTAAACTGGCCCAAAATTTCGAAGTAAATCGAGAATCTCGATCAGAAATTACCTTCAGAGGAACACCATGTCGTGCAATAATCTCGTCGATATAAATTTGTGCCCATTTATCCATAGAATACGACTCTCGAACAGACAGAAAGTGAGCACTTTTGGTTAAACGGTCCACGACAACCCAGATGTTGTCGTGCTGACGAGACGTCTTCGGTAGCTTTGTAACAAAATCCATTGTAAGTTCATCCCATTTCCACAAGGTTTTTGGTGTTCAGCTTTAACCTGCGAACACGTAACACATTGTTCCACATATCGGCCGATATCACGCTTCATTCCCGGCCACCAATATTCAGATCTCAAATCATAATACATCTTTGTACTGCCCGGATGCACGGACATCCGCGACTTATGTGCTTCACATAATACCAATTCCCGAATACCACCGAGTTTTGGAATCCAAACACGGTCCTTGAAGACTTTAAGTCCTCGACTATCATCTGTCAGATATGAAACATAACCATCTATATGCTCTCGTTTCACACGATCAGGCTTTAAAGCCTCTACTTGCCATTTTCGTATGTTGTCAACTAGTGTGGATGTCACAGACGTATGTGTAATAGCATAACACATGGAGTTTGCATACGTCTTCCGGCTTAAAGCATCTGCAACAACATTAGCTTTACCTGGATGATAGAGAATTTCACATTCATAGTCTTTAATCAGTTCCATGGCTCGTTGTTGCCTCATGTTCAAAGTCGGTTGAGTGAAGATATACTTCAAAGTCTTATGATCTGTGAATAGTTGACATTTGGTACCATATAAATAATGATGCCATAATTTTAGTGCGAAAACGACCGCTGCCAACTCAAGATCATGAGTTGTATAGTTCTCTTCATAATCTTTCAACTGTCTCGAAGCGTATGCAATTACGTTGCCTCGCTGCATAAGAACACAACCGAGACCCAGTTTAGAAGCATCGCTGTAAACTACCAAGTCGTCACTACCTTCTGGTAAAGCTAGAACAGGAGCATGTGACAAATAAAGTTTTAACACCTGAAAAGCATTCTCTTGAGCTTCACCCCATTTGAACTTGACATCTTTCTAGGTCAACGAAGTTAAAGGCACGTCAATTTTAGAGAAATCTTGTATGAATCGTCTATAATAACCCGCGAAGCCAAGAAAACTACGAATCTCAGATGCATTCTTAGGTTGCTCCCAATTCTTTACAGCTTCAACTTTGGACGGGTCAACCGACACACCGTCACAAGAAATCGTATGACCTAGGAATTGCACCTGACGTAGCAAAAATTCATATTTCGAAAATTTAGCATATAGACGCTCTTGTCGAAGTGTTTCAAGCATCTCACACAAATGCTTCACGTGATCCGCTTCAGATTTGGAATATACAAGAATATCGTCTATAAACACGATCACAGATTTGTCCAACATTGGCCGGCACACGCGATTCATCATATCCGTGAACGCTGAAGGTGCATTAGTTAAACTGAATGGCATAATTAAAAATTCATAGTGGCCATAACGTGTACGGAAAGCCGTTTTCGATTCATCTTCTTCACGCACACTCAGTTGATGATAACCCGACCGTAAATCAATTTTAGAGAAGTAACTCGCACCTTGCAATTGGTTGAACAAATCATCGATACGTGGAAGTGGATATTTGTTCTTGATCGTTACTTTGTTTAACTCAAGGTAATCGATGCACATAGACATTGAACCATCTTTCTTCATGACAAATAGTACTGGAGCACTCCAAGGTGAAGTGCTCGGTCGGATAAAACCTTTATCGAGAAGTTCTTGCAGTTGATTCTTCATTTCTTTCATTTCAGCCGGAGCCAGACGATATGGCGTCCTAGCAATCGGCGTTGCACCAGAAATTAAGTCAATTCAAAATTCAACTTGTCTATCAGGAGGTAAACCGGGTATGTCCTCGGGAAATAGATCCGGAAATTCACACACAACCGGTATGTCACTAACCGTTTTCTTTACCTCTTTCGACGCATCAAAGATATAGGCTAAATAGGAAGAACAATCTTTAGATAGGTTTCTTCGAGCTTTAAGCGTAGAAATTAACTTTACGTCCCCTTTATGCTTTTCACCGTAAACATATAAATAGTCGACGTCGTACGGTATACGGATTATGCGTTGAAAACACAAAATATCAGCCCGATTCTTAGTCAACCAATCCATAACAATAATTATATCGAAGCTATAGATATCCATCGGTACAAGATCTACGAAAAACTCATGCTCATCTAATTGCAACACACAATCTTTGTAAACTTTATCAGCTAGCATAGATGTGCCATCAGCAGTGTCAACGTAAAAAGGTTTAGCAAGCACATATGGCACAAAGTTTAAACATCGAGCAAACGTATGAGAAACGAATGAATTAGTAGCACCAGAATCAAATAAGATACGAGCAGGATGAGAATTAACGAGAAATATACCCATAACCACATCCGGTTTATCTTGAGTTTCCTCAGCAGTGATTTGAAAAGCTCTGGCCTGGACGCGCAGTACCTCCTCCTTTTCACGAGGAGCACCACTAGTAGAAGGTCGGCCAACAGAAGCCATACTTTCCTCAGGTTTAGATCGAGGGAATTTTCTTTGACGATGACCTATAGCACCACATGAGTAGCATGTCATATCCCTCCTCGAGTAGTTCGGTCTCACGTGTCCAGCTTCACCACAACCATGACATCTAACTTCAGGGCGAACAGTGTTGCATCGGCCTCGATGAGCCTTACCGCAAATAGAACAGGGTGGAAGAGCATTTGACTGAAGGCTATAAGCTTGGGACCAAGATTGAGATCGTGATCTTGCTTGGGATTGAGCGTATCTCAGATTGAAATTCATAGAAAATTGTTGTGGTGGTGCAGATATGGTACCTTCAATTCGAGGTCGCTTGGCTGGCGGAGCTGGATTACGATCCGAGTGGGTCAAATCGTGTTCGCGCCGTCGTGCAGATTCCACCGCTTTATCAAACTCTGAAATGTTACGATTGGCGATGACATCTCGAATCTCTGATCGCAATCCGTCTATAAAGTGGTCTACACATTCCTGTTCTGTAGTCAATAAACGTATGGAAAACTGTGCTTTATGATTGAACTCGGTCTCGTAGTCCACCACTGACATCTTTCCTTGATTAAGATCAAGAAACTCTTTCTCTAATAATTTTTGTAGATCAATTGGACAATATTGCTTGTTAAATCAAGTTTTGAAAGACTCACAAGGCATACCTTATTTTTTATTTCACCTAAAGCTGCAAAAGTAGCATTCCACCATATCAAGGCCCTACTTTTGAACATGGTCGTTGTGTAATTCACTTTATCATCAGATAGCACTCGGGTGATACGAAAGACCTTCTCAGTATTCAATATCCATTCAAGTGCCTCCAACGGATCAACCTTCCCAAAGAACTCAGTAGCACCGCTACCACGAAAGGTTTTAAAAGAGACTCGGTCGGTTTTGGGTTTTGAGGTGTCAGCCGTTTCTTTCTCCTTACCTTTACTTTTATCATCTTCAGACTTTCTATCGTCATGTAGTTGTTGGGCTAACGTTTGCTGAATTAATAAAGTCATACGTTGCATCAAACGTTTGCTTCGAGGAGACATCGGTGCCTCATCATCATAAATATCCAGGTGTGGAGCATTTTCTCCTACATTGTTGTTAGATGGGGTGTGACTAGCTTCATCGCCGTCGGCCATCTTTCCGAAACTTACGACGTATACATAACATTAAATAGAATCCTATAACAAATTCCCAATTCCCACCTAGGTTTCTCTTAAGTTCATATTCCGTTTAAATCAAAACATACTTACTACATGATACCGACACAAGGTTTCAGTTCGGATACCGTCGCTCGTATCCAGTTCACTTAAACCACCGCTCTGATACCAAATTGAAAGACCCAAATTACATAAATGATAAAAGGTTTGTAATACCTCATTTCTATAAATGATAAACAAACCACCAAAAGTTACATTTTTAAACCTTTAGAAAGCAAACGRGATATAATATTTACGAGTTTCTAATTCGAAATGTCCGCTTGATTTACAGGACGTTTCCGTAAGCACATGTTTTCCAAAATATCCTAAAACGGACAAAATAAACTTAATAGATTTGCATAAAGCTTAAACTATATACAAGACGGAGGACATTAGCTACCCGTTATCTAGATACTTTAATTACAAACAAAAGACAACTAATAATTTACAATCCATAGTTGTATTCGACTAACTATATAATACCAAAAGAGTCGTGCTACTGGAAGCACCAAAAGCAAAGATCTCAATCTACTCGAGCTTGTTCTTTGCCTTACCTACACGGCCTGTAAAAATGTGAGCAACTAAAAGGGTAAGCACATAATGCTTAGTGAGTAAACGGGAACTACTAACTACTAAAGCTTCACAAATGTAATATATGGAAGTCAATGATCACGAAGGATGTAAATCATGTAATAAGTAATCATCATTCGAGAATCATACATCTGAATATCAAAGTATGCAACTATATCATGTGAAGGTCAATAATTGATATGTACTGCCACCAAGCTATCCCGGTCATGGCAAGCACAACAATATATATCATAGATTTCATACCACCCGAGCTATCCCGRCCAGTGGAATGATCTTCCCACCCGAGCTATCCCGGACAGTGGGGAAAATGACCGGACTCTAACACGGTCAAATACACACCATACCCGAGTAATCTCAGCTAATATGGGCTTAAGCGTGCCTCCCCGGATGAAACACAAAGTAACCATCGAGTAGCACGTATGGAAGGACGGAGTGCAATAGCCAATATTCTCTTGAAATTGATAAGAAGACATAACATGGTTGAGTGTGGAAGCAAGTAACAAATAGATAACACATGTCTAGCAAAAATATGAAGTTAAGTAGCCCCATAAACTCACATTGCTTTTCGATACTCAAAAATCGAGCCAACTTAGGCTCTACGTCCATATACGTCTAAACATC